TTTGGGGTTTTTTATTATTATTATTGTTGTTGTAGTTCAGTATGTGCCCATTTCTAATCTGGAGCAATCCATGCCCCATTCAACTTGTGTTGTGCTCTGAACACAAACCAATATGTCTCACTTTGTTTCACCCTGGAACAAAATTTAACCATTCCACGTTGAGCCATAACTCATACAAATCAATGTGAATTAGATCAATTTTAGTTTGGAATCTGTGATTTCTCTGAAATGGATGCAGAGTCCGAATTCTGGGTAACCATGCATAGAACTGCACATTCTGAGGCTGAAGAGGCACAGAGTTCTGTTTGTTAAAGCATCTGAAAAAGGCCACTGATCCTGCCCTGCCCAGCTATTCCTTTAAATAAAATTTTGTTTGTGCTCTTGTTTCAGTCTTAATGATTAACAAAATGTTACAGCAAAGAAACCAAGCAGGATTCAATCAATAATACAACTTTCCCATATGTCATTCTCTGACTCAGCCTTTCACAATGACTTTCAAATATTTTGGACCATTTTCACTAGACAGCATTGCCAATTATTGTGGATCTTAGATTTCAGAGTCTTAAACATCTAGAGGTCATAACTGGAATGGCCAAAGATTCCTTTAACACCCACCCACACACTCACTAAAGCCATATTCCACTACTGTATTTCTTTCAATAAATCATCAAGATACTATGTTCTAGGAAAACATTCAAAAAGTCCAGTATTTAAAAGAAGGTAATATAAATCCAATTATTTATATATTTATCTTTACATGTGTTATCTGACCTTCACGTATCTGGAACACAAGTGGTTATAAGCATTTACAGTCCACAAGGGTAATATAAATAAGACATTACGGAAAGTGGAGTCACTTTGAGAAAGTTCAAGCCTGTGCAGAAGAATTAGTTTTCAGCATGAAAGATAAATCAAAGAGCCCTTTTACAATATTTCTTAGTACTTTGTATCATTGTAAATTATTTAGTGCAAATTCATATGGCAGAGGTTGGGGTTTCCTGTGAATAGAGCCAGCCTGTGTGGTCTTGGGCAAGGTACACAATCCCAGAATGCCCCCAGAAGAAGGGAATGAGAACTCTCCACGTGGAAAACCCCGAAAAGGGTCACCCTGAGTCAAAAATGACTGAACAGAACATGATAATGATGATGAATATATGATTGCTATGATAGTAATCATAGGGCAGGCGGTTGGACTTGAGGGCCTTATACTGTGATTCCCCTTAAATAAGACAGGGTCTTATATTAATTTTTGCTCCAAAAATGCAGTAGGGCTTATTTTCAGGCAATGTTTAACTTTTTTCATGTAGAACAATCTACATTTATTCAAATACAGTCATGTCATCTTCTTCTGGAGGCTGCACAATGGGGTTTCACTGAACTAGGGCTTATTTTTGGGGTAGGGCTTATATTATGAGCATCCTGAATAATCATTTTCAGGTCTTATTTTCAGATTAGGTCTTATTTTTGGGGAAACAGGGTAGGCCCCTTCCAACTTCACTATTCTATGATTCTGTGATGAATAGTTTATCACAATATTCAAAATAAAAAGCATTTGCTATGTATATCACACATTTTTGTGTTTTTTTATAAATGTAATAATTTCCACCAGTCAAGCAAGCACAGATAATACAGGGAGGGGGAGAAATTCTAATAGTTGGGTGTTTTGACCCTTTTATACCATTTGAAGAGATATAACTGTTGCATGGGACTTGAACTGCCATGGCTTCTCAAAGAACGTGGAGAATGGCATTTTGGTGAGGGTGCTTAGATTTCTGAGGTAATTTTTCCCCTCAAGAGCCCCTCCCGAATACAATTCATGGGGCTCCATGGGAAGAAGGACTACCTTTTTCAGATTTACAGATATATTTTCACCCTGTGTTTTTTGGGGGGTTGGGAGGGAGGCACCTAGTACTACTACTAATAAAAAACTATTGCGCAACCCTTTAATTTTCTTGTTGACTGTTTTTTCCCTCCCGAGGGGGAAATAATGGAAGCAAGAGTAGGAAAATAGAGAATAGTTACAAGTTGGATATAACATCCAGACATAAAATTCAGTGAATGAGAAATGCTGATTTCACAATAAAAGTCCAACATGGTCTCCCTCAGAGTTTGACACTCAGTCTTCGGCACATTTATTTCGAAGTGAGGTTCCCAGACCTTAACTGACTGACTTCCAACAGATTATTCAATCGGTTGAGCAGCTGCAGCTGCGTTGACAAAAGGAACATGATTAGAACATGGTGGCCAGGGATCCACAGCCTGATAATTTCCCAACTATAAATCACAATCTGCAGAATTGTAAATGAGGGCAGAATGTGGTCTCACAGCCTGCTGTGAAAGCAATGTACATATACTGTAAGGGGCATATTGCAAAACTGTTGTTAAGATTCCCACCAAGCCAGTGAAGGGGGTTATTTACCCACCTGACACCTTAAATACATGCTTGTTTCCCTGCTGCAGAGCTATTGCTATGACTGCATCACGAGAGGACAGGGTTCTTACGCAAACATAACAAGAGAGCCATGTGGTCTGTGTGTAGTGGTGTAACCCAGTTCAGTGCTCAGATTGCAAATCTGTGTCACCTGAGTTCATGGCATAACCTGCACACTTGATCAGCTCCTGTAACCTCATGTCTATACTGAACAGTACCTTGATGAGCCGGCTGGATAGCTCAGTGGTTTGGTGAATGTTTCCTTTGTTGATTTTCAGCTGGGACTATTTAAATAAATGGTTGCTTCTATTTCTGTATAACATGCTTTAACATAGCTTGCAATCTGTTGTGAGATTGCTACTGGGTAGATATAGAATGATGGTTAGAAATTGTGTGTGAGAGAGAGAGAGAGAAAGAGAGAGAGAAAGGGGGGGAGGGGGGGAGAGAGAGTATAAGGACTCCCCTGTTCTTTATTTTTGTTCTTTACCTTAAAAGGACCAGGACCTTGTGTTCTAAGCACACATTAAAAGCCTTTGAGATTACACATTAAAAAGTTTTATTATTTTTAAAGGGTGGATCAGATACAACTTTCTTATTACAGCATGCTATGCTGTCTTGTTAAGATCTTTAGTAATGGGGGAGAGAGAGAGTATAAGGACTCCCCTGTTCTTTATTTTTGTTCTTTACCTTAAAAGGACCAGGACCTTGTGTTCTAAGCACACATTAAAAGCCTTTGAGATTACACATTAAAAAGTTTTATTATTTTTAAAGGGTGGATCAGATACAACTTTCTTATTACAGCATGCTATGCTGTCTTGTTAAGATCTTTAGTAATGAGTACAAATGACTTTATGGACAATCCTGTATACCTGCTCGTACCTACTCAAGAGGTGTGTACCAGCAGCCATTCTTCCAGGCTGAGGAAGGAAGAGCACAGGGCCACTGCTGCCACCAGCCCTCTGGAGAAGCCAGATCTGTGAGATTTCACCTGTTTCCAGCTGCCATCTAGCATTCACTGCACCTGAAGGCCCCATCATATTAAGAACTTGCCCCTGAATTTTTAAAATTTTCCTTTTGCCTCCCCATCCTCCTTTCCTTTCTGTCCCATCTTTTTAGGCTGTAGCCCTAGAGACAGGGACTGTCCTGATACAAAAGGAAGAAAGGAGCTGTGTAAGAGTTCTTCCAGCTTTTGAGCATGGCATAAATGCTATAAACAAATAATAAATAAATGTAAGACACACTGGCCAAAATTATGCCACAGAGGTGGATGATATCCTATATCAGCAGTAATATTTAATTAAAATGAATCAAAAGGTTCCTATTACTCTTTTTAGTTTATGACACTCCCTAGGACTTTCTTTTGCCATGGGGAGGTCTTTGGGAACCCCATGATGAGATACAGGAACCTTTAATTGTCCAAAATTGCCACCAGATCACCATCAGCAGTCACTCTGAAGAGTGTTTGGAGCTGGTTCAAGATGCTGCAACTAGACTCCTATATGATACCCATTACACAGAGCATATAATTCCACTATTGCAGTAGTTTCACTGGCTGTCAGTCCATATCCAGGCCCAGGTTTGACAGACAGACAGACAGACAGACAGACAGACAGACAGACAGACAGACAGATAGATGATGGGTGGATGTTCTGTGGTATTTGCTCTGTTTTTCTTGTTTCAAGCATTGTGGCTGTAGAAATATTGACTGTTGCTTCATGAGTAAATAACTAAAGTAGATCCACTGAATCAATGCAACTTAGAGAGTTCACCTACCTAATTATTCAATGGGCCTACTCTAGTTTGACCTACTATACTATGTAATAGGATTTCAGCTATTGAATGTCATGTTTTTCTGAATTTCTTTTTCTTGATTGTTATGCCCAGACTGAAAACATTAAACTAGCCTGAGTTTTAGACATAAAATTATGTCTCATAGTTGAGAACATATAAATCTGACCATCTAGCCCAGTGTTGGCCACTGAAATTGCAAGCAACGGTCCTGGGTCTCTGGCATAGAGAGCTTTCCTGCCATTCTCTCTGCCCAGGAGGTGCCTAGGTGCCAACTTGGAATCTTGGCCATGCAGACCGTGTTGTCCACCACAGAATTACACATCTTTGTTGTCAAAGATAAATTATATCAAATTTGCACAGAAGGCCACTATTAGCATTCTTTGACTACAAAGGTACTTCCAATCAGTGCAGTGCTATCATCACAGTTTTCAGGTTGGGTCATCTGTCCCATATTGCCAATCCTCAAAATGCCTTTCCTCTCTATTTAGTCCTCTGCAACAAAGAGTAAAGAGAAATGGACCCAGACTCAGTAGACATGAAATCAGTAGGAACTGGAACCCTCATTGGGGGGATTTACTTAACTATTAAGCACTGACACCACTGTTTAAAGTTATAGATTGCACTTTACAAATGCTGTCACAGGAAATATGAGACATGAAAACAAATCATGGATGGCAACTCTTTCTTCAGTTGGCCCTCTCACTTGTTGCTGATATACGTTTTCACAGCCCTGATCGTCTAAGAAAAAAAATAGCTTGGTAATTTTAAATCCTCTTACCTCGCTGGCAATAGTTGAATGGGGGTCTTCGTAGAGCCAGCCATCTTGGCATGTAGTAAATGGCACTTTGCCCAAGCTGTTATTGGAGAGATGAGATAATGAGTCGGTATAGCCGTAGCAGGTGCTGTTGCATTGCAAGTCATATCTCTTACACTGGGATGAATAATTCACCCATCTTGATGTGAGGACAGTAAGATTGTACTCCTCTTCAAAGGTCCAGGCACAATGCTTACTTAATTCAGATGCACAAGGGATCCTGCACCAATACTGCTGCGGATCTCGTCCAAGAAACACAACTCCAACAAATAGAAAAGAAAAAGTTATGCCAGTCTGGCAAAGGAGGAAGAAGACCCTCTTCTGAAACCTTCCAAACTCCCCTGCCTCTTTTAAAACTTCATCAAAAGACGGCATTATAAGCAGTGGTCGTCTCTCCCCGCCCCCACAAAATCAGACGAATCCAAGAATTGGCAGCAGGAGCTCTCAGATTTGTGACTCCACACAGGACTCCTTAGAAATCATGCATTCTCTTTCTCCCTCCCTCTCTGTCACTACCAACACACATGTAATCCAGTAGTATAAGCAGCAACGCTGGGGCACAAAAGTTTAACTTTGTCTCCCCACCCTTCTCTCGCTCTCTCTCTCTCACACACACACACACACACACACAGACTCTCTCTCTCACTCACTCTCTCTCACACACACAGACACACACACAGACACAAATACAAAGCTATAATGTCAATTTGGCAGAATGCTTACACGCAGCAATTTCGGATTTCACTATAAAGCTGGCAGACATACAGTCCCAAAGAAAGGGGTGTATGTTTCCTATCTGCCCAAAGAAGAGATTGTGCAACACTTAACTCTTAACTCTTTCGGAAACAAGAATTAACAAATACAAGGGCAGAAAGCAGAAGTGGTGCTATAGATATTATTGATCTTTTAAAATAAATCTCAGTAGACAAAATTTATTTAAAAAGAAAAGAAGAGTCATAACAATTTTTTAAAAAACAACCTTTTTCTCTATATTCCCTGGAAGTTCTTTAATCGAATAATGAATGACAATCATATTTGATAACTTAAATAGATATTTGCATAAAATTAAGCAGCAAAATAAGAAAATGTGGTAAACATTAAGGAAGAGGACCAGAATGTAAAGAAAGGAAAGGCCAAGAAGTTGTCACAAAAAGCAAAAGGTTATTGAAATGCAGTCATGATAATTTATTCAAAATATTTTTAACCCATTTTAAGAAGGACCCAAGGTGGCTTACATCATTAAAAGACAATATGTAAAACAGTAAGAATACAAATACTAAAAAGGACTAAACAAATAACATGCTAAGAAATGGTAAACAAAAATAATACCAAAAACACATTCAAAGCAGTAAGGCACAACAATCCATTGAAAAAACCCCACTCAGGTAGCCAGTCTCTGAAGGAAATGTATTCTCGAAGGCTTTCCACTGATGGAAAGCTTGCCTGAAGAGAAAGGTTTTGTCTGGTTGCAGAAAGACAGCAAAGATGGGGCCAGCCTGGCCAGTGACAACGCTTTCCAAAGTCCAGGATCAGCAACAGAGAAGGCCCTCTCCCGTGTCCCCACCAAATGTACCTGTGAAGTTAGTGAGACTGAGAGAAAGGCCTCTCTGAGAAGTAGCAGTAGTAGTAGTTTGGGCTTCGTCTTATTTATGTTCTTGTTTTCCCATGTTTATCATTATTAATCAATAGTTATGTATCAATTACTAATAAATATATTATTCAGAAACATATATGTGAAGATTCTCGGTCATCCAGGTGAGGTTATCTGGAAGCTGAGTCATGGCAACTGGACTTCTTCCTTATTAGATTGAAACATTTCACTACTCATCCTCTTCAGTCTGAGGAGAGTTAGTAGGAGATCCCTGATCCATGTTGGTTTCACTTCCCCCTGGTGTGAATAGGCTCATTGGATCCTATGATGACTGTGCAATCATCATAGGATCTAACAGCAGCTTAGGAATAGAAATCTACAGAAAACCTACACACACTGATCAATACCTGCTTTTTGACTCTCATCACCCATTACAACACAAACTAGAGATCATCTGGACACTAAACCACGGAGCAAGAAACATCCCCACCTCCACAGAAGCCAAGAAGAAGGAAGATGGACATCTGAGGACAGCACCTAAGGCCTGAGGTTATCCAAAATGGGCCTTTAACAAGGCAATGTCCCAACCCAGGAGGACAATGGAACAGTCTGAGACCCAGAGCCAATGGAAGAATCTGGTTATTACTTACATGGTGGGTGTGTCTGAAAAGTTCAAAAGGATTTGTGGTAAACACCACATACCTAGGCACTTCATAACCACAAACACACTAAGACAGACAATTATCTACCCAAAAGACCAGACACCAAAACACAACAGGAGCAAGACAGTATATGAGGTCCAATGCAAAGAGGAGAGGCTTGTAACCTGCGATGGACTTTTTCACCAGGAATCGATCCAATCCCCTTTTCTAGGCCAGATGCCATCACCACATTCTGTGGCAAGGAGTTTCACAGACCAACAACATACTAGGTAAAGAAATATTTTCTTTTGTCTGTTCTCACTCTCCCAACACTCAGCCAGAGTGGATGTCCCCTGGTTCTAGTATTGCGTGAGAGGGAAAAGGGCTTCCCTCTATCCACTTTATCCATCCCCCATCTCAGTCATGTCCCCCCTCAGGTGCCTGTTCTCTAGACTAAAGAGCCCCAAATGCTGTAGCCTTTCCTCATAAGGGAGGTGTCCCAGACTGGTCATCATTTTAGTCATTCTCTTCTGCACCTTTTCCAGTTCCACTATGTCTTTTTTGAGGTACGGCGGCCAGAACTGTATACAATACTCCTAATGCAGCCTTACCAGCGTTTTGTAAAAAGGCATTATAATGCTGGCTGCTTTATTTTCAATCCCCCTTTTGATGATACCTTCCATGGAATTGACCTTCTTCACTGCTGCTGCATACTGGGTTGACACTTTCATCGAGATATCCACCAGCACACCAAGAGCTCTTTCCTGATCCGACACGGACAGCTCAGAACCCATTAGCTCATAACTAACATTTTGAATTTTTTTGCCCCAATGTGCTTTACTTTACATTTTCTTATATTGAAAGCTACTTGGACGAGTAGTGAAACATTTCAGCCTAACAAGAAAGAAGCCCAGTTGCCATGACTCAACTTCCAGATTATTCAGAAACATTGGCTGAAATCTAACAGCATAAATTATGTGATGTAAGGCTGATGATAACATCAGTTGCAGTTATCTGGATGTTGAGTCATGGCAACTGGACTTCTTTCTTAGATTAAAATGTTTCACTCCTCCTCCAAGTGGCTTTTTCAGTCTGAGGAGAGTTGGTAGGAGACCCCTGATATATCCTCCACATTGGTTTCACTTCCCCCTGGTCTGAATAGGCTTGTTAGATGGACAAAGGACTGGGAATGAGTGAAAATCCCACTTCTGCAGACCAGGAGGAAGTGAAATCAATGTGGAGGATATATCAGGGGTCTCCTACTAACTCTCCTCAGAAGAGGATTAGCAAAATGTTTCAATCTAACAAGAAAGAAGTCCCGTTTCCATGACTCAACTTCCAGATAACCTCACCTGGATGACTGAGTATCTTCACAGATCAGTTGCAGTTGTTTTTCAGAAATTAAAGTTTTCCAGTCCCCTCTCCCAACAGTCCCGAGGCTCTATTGGAATCCCTTTTATCCTAGGGAAGTGAATGGGACCAGCAGAACACGGGGAAGCCTTTTGACAATTACTGTTACCAGTAAAATCATTCCACCAGCTGCAATTTTTGGAAATTAAAGATGCCCCCGCAGCCCATGGCCCAATAACTGCCACTCAGTGAAAGGGATTATAAGGAATTCTCTTAATCTTTTGAGAATGGGGGTAGGAATTTTTAATTTCTGAAAAAGTGCCTGGCTGATAACATCACCAGTTTAAATTACATGGCTGGATTTCAGCATTGTTAGGCAACCACCAATCTAACAACTGGTTGTCCATTTGTAACTGAGGACTGTGTGTGTGTGATAATAGCTGGAAGCATTTTTCTCCTTGTACAGTATTTTAAACAAATATTTACCTTAAACCCCAAATTCCATGTTCTAAGCAGCAACATAGAAAGTAGGGGCAGCTCGTGGTCTGAGCAGGAGATGTTTTGCCCCAAAATGCCTCACACCCAGGCATCCTATAATGCACAAGCTGATTAAGACATTGTGGTGAAAAATTGGATTGTATGATGATCAAAATGTCACATTTTTTAGTAATAATAAAATGGTCCCTCTATATCTCCAGAGGAAATCATACCTTATATTTTCCTTACTGACTCTTGCACTTTGGCCTCATGATCCCTACATTCTTCCTACAAATCAAGATGGCAGTGTGTCACTTGTGGGGGATTCCTGTGGTATTTCTATGGATTTGTAATTAATTAAATTTTTTGTATATTCACCAGCAATGTATACGGCAACCTTTGTGTCGTTCCCCTCTCCCCATTTATCCCCAGAATAGTCTTGTAAGGTAGGTTTGTGCATCAGTGATAGTGTTCGCAAACAAACAGAGCTGGTCATGTACCTCCCAAATATACAGCTTTTTGTTGAACTCAAAATCACCTATATACTTTAAAAGATTTAAAGAAAGATCATGGCATTGGCAGTGTTTTATTTATAATGAACTCCATTCACCAGAGTTATTTCAGTTGAACTATGTGGACTTGCCTGGAACAGCATGAGGTTTCAGGGTCTGGTGGGTTGCCAGATGCTCTCTGCTTCTTTGTAACAAATAACAATAGTCCCATTGTGGCATTGCCGCAGGTCAAATTGCAGACAATATGTGGCAGCTTGGATTGTTTTAGGAAGACTTCTTTTTGTCTGACCCTCCGTATCATGGCTGAATCCATGACTGCTATCATCACTGTACTGTAACAAACTCTTCTAAATATGTGACGTGGAAGTTTACCTAATTTTTCAGTTTTATGCTCTCCAATGATTCAAAATTCATCCATTGGCTCTATTAAAGCAGGACTCGGCAACAGATATTATTGGACTGAACCCTCATACTCCCTCACCATGCAATATAATGGCTACAGCTGAAGCTAAATAGTTACAGGGTCACAGTTGCCCACCCTTACATTAGGCAAAGGGATTATGAATTGCCCAAGACCTACTAGCACACTTTGTGGTTTATAGAGAATGAACTCATATCTACCTCACAAAAACCCAGTAATTTTCATGACACCATTTCAGCTGTTAAATATTTACAACATAAGAGCATCCATTTCACAGAACAACCAGATGGTCTGTGCTTTGACAGGTTTCTCAAAAATTAAACATCTTTGGCATGGGGAGGTTGTGACAACTCATAGTACACAAAGTAATATGATATCACAATAAAATCTAAAATACGGTCATGCCTTGCAAGACGAATTCCTCACGCAACGAAAAGCTCGCAAGATGAAAGCATTTTGCGATTTTTTTGGTGACTCGAAAGATGAATTTTTCTATGGCCGTGCTTCGCAAGATGAATTTTTTGCAATACGAAACGACACATGGAACAAATTAAGTTCATCTTGCAAGGCATCACTGTATTAAAAATGGTATTGAAATCTTT